TTTTTTTGGTACCAGGGATTGTACTCGGGTCCTTGCGCTTGCAAGGCAGGCCACTGAACCGCTGAGCTAAATCCCCGGCCCCAATTGACTTTTTAAAAATGACAGGATCTTGCTATGTAGTTCAGGCTGTCCTTGAACTCACAGCTAAGCCCTGTCTCAGCCTCCTATGTGCTGGGAATACAGGTGTGCACACCATGCCGGGCTAGAACTGACATCTTCACACAGTCAAATTTTCTCAACCAAGAACACGGTTTAACTCTCCATTAATCCAGGTCTTTTACTGTGTTCTTTTTTTTTTTTCCGGTACCGGGGATTGAACTCAGGATACCTTGTGCTTCGGAGGCAGGTGCAGTGCCACTGAGCTAAATTCTGGGCCCCTTTTACTGTATTCTTGAATGTACTGTGACTTCTCTTGGTAGTATTGTAATAAAGTTATTCATATCAGCATATATTCGTATTTTCCCCCTAAAGTTGAATTTTCCTTCCATTTTTGTAGTAAACTCTTTCTTGTGTTTTATTGTTTGTGGTTGCAGGATTGATTTTAGATGACCTGAGCAGCTCCTGGGCTCCATCTGGTGACCATAGGTCAGTTCTGCATGACTTTCTGGGATGGGGTTTGGAACAGCTGTGAAATCCTGAACTCCAGAGCTCAGGCCCAGGCAGATCAAGAATCTGCAGGGTCAAGAATCTGGTAGACAAAAAAACCTGGGTCCCCCAGTTTTGTGGCTGTCTACTTCAGATCCATAAATTTTTTATTGCTTGAAGGCCCTGCGGGAAGAGACCATATCTGTGATCTATTAAAAAATGCTATTCTTTTTCAGAATCTGGCAGTCCACACACACGAATAGGCCCTCTTCTCTAAGATTTATTATGATCTTTATGTCATTTTCAGGGAGGGTAAGCCCTCAGACATAGCTTTAATTTTATGACTCTGGACAGTTTTTCCTATCAGTAAACTTACAAATCAAAAACTATGTCCTAGTTTTGGTCCAGAAAATAAGTCCTTGGGTCCCTGTCTTAAGTCTTTGGCATTGGCTCACTTTGGAGGTTTATAGTTGTTTGGAGATCTTCCCAAGATAGAACTTGTACATGTTTAAATAAAAATATATTCCTAACATCACTAATAAACAAGGGAATGTACCATCAGCTAACCAAAAATGTTGAGGAATTCATGAAAAATGGTAAGCAGATGAGACTGGATTGTTGGGAGAAACCACCGCCAAGGGAAGGAGCAGATTGCTGCCATCAGGGAGTGGTTCTGGAGGCATTCTTAGCTCAGGGCAGCCTTTACAAAGACAAAAAAGGACCTGAGGCAACCACCAGGCGGACTGATCAGGTAGGGGCTGTAGTTCCCAGCAAGCAGGCAGAAAAAGCAGGGGCGCCAGAGATATTTGCCCTGAAACAGAGTCACTGTCAGTGCTTCCTGAGGCTCAGAAGAACCTTGGAGGAATGGGGAGCGCAGATGATAGCTCAGTAGCTCCCCCAGCTCACCACTGTACTTCCTGGAGGTAGTACAAGGAAACCACAGCCACACACAGACCAAAAGGCAGTCTTAAGTAGGAAGCTGGACCTTCCCGTAAGAGTAAGCACACATTTAAGGGAAACCACCTGAAGAGAGGAAAAAAACCAAACCCAATAAAGAGGAACTGATGTTAAAGGGAAACAATAAAGAGAGGCTTTTGAAAGATGTGTGACTGATACCATCAGAGGCGCAAGAATGGATTTTTTCATCAATGGAGCAAGTTAATAAAATAAAAATCAATTAAAAAAATAAACAGGCAAGAAACATTTAAAAACCTCAGTGGATTGGCTGATATGAGTGGATACATTGTGAAGAGCAGATTATTTATTAGGACAGAGGGCAAACTGAGACAAACTTCCAAAGGCAGGCCAAAAAGCAAATGTGTGGAAAGAAATATGAAAGGATATGAAAGACCAATCATTTCCAATCCACATAATAGGAATTCCAGTTGGATGGAGTGGGAAGAATAAGAGTTGAGGGGGGAAAATTGATTCTCTGTGCAGGAGGAGATCAGGATTAAAGGAATGTATTACTCTTCAGACTGAAAAAGCCCATCAGGCAGGTTAAAGGGAAACAAAACAATCAAGCAAACACAAATCAAAACTTCCTAAAGGACTCTGGGGGCGGGGGTGGGAAGAGACAGAGAGAGAGAGAGAGAGAGAGAGAGAGAGAGGGAGAGAGAGAACACATTTCTTACAAAAGATCAAGAATTGAAGAATCAATTTCAGACTTTTCATCATATATCTACTTGGATATCTGTTCGGATTGGAATGTAATCTGTCTGAAAGTAAACTACTGGTTCTCCCCCATTCATCATCTCACCATATCTCTGTATTTTTCTGCTACAATCCTAGTAGTTGTACTGATCTCTTTTCCCGTCTCAATCTGGTTACTAGGTTAACAGGTCTTACTGACTCCATTAGAAAATCATGGGCTAACTCTGCCTGCTTTCCTTTTTTAATTATTATTATGACTTAGTCCCATGCAGTGTCGTTCATCTCAGGCCACTTAATTGGTGGTGATCGTGCCCCTCACTCTTTCTTTTCTTTAGTATCTCTCTGCTCTTTTCTGACACTGCAATCTTTCCTTTCTGTCCACAAACAAGCCAAGGTCACTCTTTTTTTATTTTATCATTAATTAAGTTTACTGTTACTGATTAGACGTACATAATGATCACATTCATCATGTGGAATTTGTACCTGTATATGACATATCTTGATTCTTATTTTTCCCCTTTCCCTCCTACCCCTCTTCCCTTTCTTATTTACAAAAGTTTTGTTTCCATTTTATCTTTCTTTTCTCATTGATTTTCTTTTCTTTCCCTCTCTCTCCCTTGTGCCCCTTCTCATTTGAACATCTTTGTCCTATTTTACAGTATCTATTATACATGGAATCAGAAGAGACCTAGAATAGCCAAGGTCATTGTTAGCTGAGCGTTCTCTTTCTTCTACTTGGGAAACTCCTCCACCCTGACCCTGACTCCAGATATTTATATGGCTGACTCTTCAGGACTCAAATCAGAAGTCATTACTTCAAAAAGACAGTATCGTTTTCCGTATGCATAACTGGTAAGTTTGTCAAATGTTTTCCATCCCATCTCTTCCCCACCAGTTTGCAATATCAGCTCTGTGATGCATCACATTTGCTTGAGTAGGGGTCTTTTTTGAGTTCTTTAGAGCGGTCTATTTCTCGGTCACTACGGCAGCATTGCACTGTCCTGATTAGGACAGCTTTAGAGCAATTCTTGACATCTGGAACAATAAGAACCTTTGCTTTTTTTATTCTCTTTCATGAATGCCTTGGTGATTTCATATACATTTTAGAATCAGCTTGACAAGTTCCAAACAAAAGATTTTTTAGAATTTTGATTGAAATTACCTTAAATTTATAGATTAGTTTGAAGCTATCTGATATCTTTATATTAAGATATATATCTGATATCTTTATGTCGGATATTAAGTCTTCCAGTTTTTGAACATGTTATATTGGTCCATTTATTTTCATTTGCTTTATATGTATTTCAATAATTTTCTCAATGAAGGTTGTACACATCTGTTATTTTTGGAGTGAATCCTAGCTATTTTATTCACTTTAATGTTACTGTAGTTTGGATCATTTTTAGAAATTGCATTTTTGTCATCTATTGTTCTTATATTGGAATATAATTCATTTTTGTTTATTGATTTTAAGACAAGGAGTATTGCTACAGTGTTTTGTTAGTTGTAATATTTTATTTGTGGCTCATTTTGATTTTTTGGTTTTGTTTTGTTCCTCATAAATAATCATACCATTTGCAAATAATGATGACTTCCGTTTCTTTCTTAAAAGACATCCTTTTTCATTTTATATAATTTATCATGCTTCTTGAACTGTCTAGGGTCTTTGAGAATAATGTTGAAAAGAAGTGGCAAAGAGTAGCATCCATGTCTTGCCCTTGATCTTAAAGTTACAGAAAGCTTTCAAATATCAAGAATGATATTTGGTTTTAGTCTTTATCAGATCCAATAAGGTTCTTTCTGTTCCTAATTCGCTAAGAATTTGTACAAATATAATTTAATTATTAAATTTAAAAATATTTTTAAGATTTCGAGACAGTCTTGCTAAGTCACAAGGATGCTAAGGCTGGCCTTGACCTTGATGTCCTCCTGCCTCAGCCTCCTAGAGTGCTGGGGTTATAGGCATGTGACATCATGCCCAAGTAAATTAAAATTTATTTTTAATAAGCAGTTAATTTCTGTGGAATAGTATTAAAAAGGTAGAAAAGGATATGCAGACAAAAAATCTCCCTCCCATTTATGTCATCTCATGTCTAGTTCCTTTTCTTGGACACACTAATGATAACAGTTATTTGATATTCTATGCAGATATAAACTCAGACACATACATAAACAAACACACAGCCTCTCACACACACACACGCCCGTACATTTCTCTTTATTTTTCACTCAAATGGAGACAACATATTACTATTCTTTGTTTTTCTCTCAGTTTTTAAAATTATGAGTGAATGTTGAATTTTATCTATAGTTTTTATAAATCTGTTAAGATGACAATATGTTTTTTCTTTATTATGCTAATATGAGGAATTATATTAACTGATCTTCTAGTGGTAAATTGCCCTAACATTACTGGAAGAAACTCAGCTTTTCCATGACTTAATTACATTTTCTGTATGCTTCTGAGTTTAATTTGCTAATATGTTTTTAGGATTTTTTTGTATCTATATTCATAAATGATGTGCCCCATAATTTTCCTTTCACATAGGCTCTTGTCAGATTTTAATTTCAATGTTATGCTAGCTTATATTTTGCTATATAATTTGTGCAATAGTAATGTCTGTGCAAGTGAGAGTTTATTTCGTGGGATGATTTTAAATAATGATTTAGTTTTTTCAGTGTTATTAAGTTTTCTAATGTATTGGTACTCAGTTTAGGTGGATTACATATTTTGGGGAACTTTTCCATTTCATTTAGGCTTTCAAGTTTGTTATATTTTGTTTTTCATTTTTTGGCACAACTTTATTGAGATATAGTTCACATAGCAATTCAAACACTTAGGGCATATAATTCAGTTGTTTTTAGTCTACTCACAGAGTTGTGCAGCCATCAACACAATCAACTTTAGAATGTTTTACTTCCTCGAAAAGAAATCTGGTAGCCTTTTACTATCTTCTGGTGCCTCCTCCAATCCCTAAGCAACCAGCACTTTACTTTTTGTCTTTATAGATTGGTCTATTCACATTTCATATAAATAGGATTATGTAATATATCATCTTTTGTAACAGAATTTCTTTTTACTTAGAATAACGTTTTTAAGGTTCATCATGTTGTACCATGCATCAGTATTACATTCCTTTTTATGGCCAAATAATATTCCATTATATGGATATACTTTATATTATTTATTCATTCATCAGTTGATGGCTGTTTGAGTTTCCACTCTTCTGTTGCTATGAACATTTGTGCTGAAGTTGTTGTGTGGACATGTTTTTGTTTTCCTTGGGCTGGTACCTAGGAGTGGAATTGCTGGATCATATGGTAAACTCTTTGTTTAACCTTTAGAGGAACTGACAGACTTTTACATTTCCAGGAGAGCATGAGGGTTCTCTGCTCTTGTCAGTACTTGCTATTATCTGACTTTTAAATTTTAGCTATGCTAATGGTGTGAAGTAGTAATGCATCATGGTTTTGATTTATATCTTAATGAATAATTGCATTGAACAGCTATTTTATGCTTATTGATAATTTGGTTTCTTTGAAGAAATGTTATGTCCCTCTCTCTTGAGGATGTAGAGCTTGATCTTCCCACACCTTTAAAATGAAACCTTTGCCATAATTTCCTCCTTCATCTCCCTCCTCCCCTTCACTCACAGGTTTCTCAAATAGTTATTCCTGTTTGTTTTACCCTCAGATACATCAGAATTGCCCTTGGCTCTTCCTTCTCCTCAATTCTCATATCAGGTGACTCAGAGAGTCCCCTGATTTTCATCACAAAAGGGTATTTTAAATTTGTCCACCCATTTCTCTCCCGGCCTCTGCTGTGATATGGGCACACATCATTCCTTGCCTGGGCCTCTGTACCTTTTGGGAAGGAATTTCTGACCCTTTCAAAAGCTGGCAGTGGGCTTCTGCTCCCCTGAGTCCCCACACCCTTACCTGGTCCTGGGATCTGCTGAGTTTTGAGAATTCCAAAGCCATCAACCCAAGTTACATAGGCCTTCACCCACTCTCCTCACTCGCATAGCTCCAGCCTCTGATGGATCAGAGTGATGACGCATTTCCACTGAGCACTGCCTCAGAAATGCTCTGTTACTGTCAAAATTCAGGGCCTGATGCTAAACACTGTTATTGGCATTCTTCATAGTCAGACAGGTTTTCTGCTGGGATGTTTTTCATATCCTTAAGGAACATGCAATTAGATCGTGTGACTCAATATCCCAGGAGTTCCTTGTTCTTACCTCTGTAAATAATGGTGTTGTGCTGTGGTAGTGTGGGGTAGAGAACAGGCTTCAGAGTCCTCAGCCAGTGGACAGAAATGGGTGTGTTAGCTGTCCTCTGCTTTTAGATTTCTCAGCAGGTGCACTACTGGATTTTGAACATGACCATTCCTCTCCCCATAGGTCTGTCTTACTCATGGCAGGACATTTTTTTTCACTGAGTTAACTGGTACTTTTTAGATATACAGTACAGTTGCATTCATCATTGGAATCTTATACCTTTATATGACAGATCTTGGTTCTCATTTTTTCCCCATACTTCACTTCACCCCCTCCATCCTCCCCTATTTACAAAGACTTTGTTTCCATTTTTTCATTTTCTCTTATTTTTTTCCCTTATTTCCTTTCCCCTACCTTTCCCACTTTCCCTACACCTTTAGCCCCCTTTTTCCTATTTCACATTGTCTATTATACAATTTGGACCTTATTTACACTTTGTTTTTCACATCAGATAAACTATTCGGTATTTACACATGTATGTCCTATTTATTTCACTTAAGAGTATAGCCTCAATATGCATAGATTTTCCTATGAGTGACTCTAGTTTCTTACTCTTTATGGCTGAGTAGCACTCCATTTTATAGAAAATCCACATCTTCTTAATTCAGTCTCCAATTGATGGGCAATTGGGCTGCTCCAAAGTTTTAGCTATTACAAACTGTGCTGCCATTAAATATGGGTGAGAGTAGATCACTATGGTATGATTCTTTTAATTCTTTTACACTTCATATTATTATTAATTATTATTATTATTATTATTATTATTATTATTATTATTATTTTGGAACCAGGGATTGAACTTGGGTCCTTGTGCTTGTGAGGAAGGCAGCAAAACCACTGAGCTAAATCCCTGGCCCTTTGAATTCTTTTGGAAAGATACCCAGCAGAGGGATAGCTGGGTCAAATAGGACCTCTAATCCTAGTTCTTTGAGGTGTCTCCATATTGATTTCTACAGTGGTTGCACCAGTCTGCACTCCCACCAACATTGGAGAAGGGTTCCTTTCTCCCCACAACCCTACCAACATTTGTTACTGGTTGATTTATAGCAGCCATTCTTCCTGGGGTGAGGTGGAATCTCAGTGTTGTTTTCATCTGCATCTCTCGAATGACCAGTGATGTGGAACATTTTTCATATATTTATTTTCTGCTTTTACTTGTTTGTCTGAGAAATGTCTGTTCATTTCAGATGCCCACTTTTGAATTGGGTCTTTATATTTGGAGTGGCTGATTGTTTTGAGTTCTTTGTATATTCTAGATAAGAGTCCTTTGTCTGAGGAACAGGCGCTAAAATTTTTTTCCCCACATTGTAGCTTGTGTCTTAGCTCTATTGATGGTTTCTTTTGCAGTGCAGAAGCTTTTTAATAAGATGAGATCCCAGTTGTTGATTCTTAGTGCTAGTTCCTGTGCTACTGAGGATTTCTTCATAAAGTCTTCTCCTATGCCAACATCTTCAAGAGTTCTGCCTAACCTATCTTCCAGCAAATTTAGTGTTTCTGTTTTAATATTTTGATCTTTAATCCACTTGGATTTTAGTATAGTGCATGGTGAAAGATAAGGGTCTAGTTTTAATC